TTAACCCCAGCTTTATTCTTCCTGGCAGCTGTCCAGTTCACCAGGGACTGGGAGACTGGCTGGGTGCAGGCAAACACCTCCTACAAGTCCTTCAGCGCTGCCCAGGTGAACGCGGACATCGGGCTGCACATCGGCCTGGCAGGGGTGAACGTCACGCTCAGGGGTGAGTCTGACGGCCCCATCTGGAACTCTGGAGTAGCCACGGCCCCAGGAGATCCACAGCTGCTCTCTGGGGCCCCTGGTCTGTCTGAAGGCTCCTGGGAGCCTGCTGTGCCCGTGCTCCTGGCTGGCAGTGTCCGGGTGCTGGCACAGCACGGCCGCAGCTCGTCCCTCCCGCAGGAAACCCAGTGAAGCAGATCAACGAGACCATCGACTACAACGAGCACTTTCCCTGGAACTTTGGAGCGGATTATGAGCACAGCTACAGCGAGGGGCTGGAGAAGGGGCTGCCCAGCCCCATCCTCTACGTGGCAGAGAAGTTCATCAGGCAGAGCCCCTGTGCCGTGCACAGGCAGTACCGCATCGCCGGCCACTACGCCTCAGCCGTACTCTGGTGAGTTTTCTGCCCTGCTGAGCCCTCCTGTCCTGCTGCAGGCAGGGGAGATCAGGGGTGTGGAGAACTTGGCTGCCTTTCCCCTAGGCCTTTGGGCTGGCTGGGATTGCATGCTGCCAGGAGGGAAGCTGTGTGCGTGGAGGGCTCCCTGCCAGGCACTGCAGACACTTCAGGGTGAGCAGTGCTGGTTCTCCCTGCTGGACAAACCCACTGGGCTGGGCACAGGACAGAGGAACGTGGTGCAGGTCCTTGTCATGACGTGATGATAATGGTAGAGGTCCATCCCCATGGCTGGAGTTGAAGCTGCTGTCCTTGGTGGCCCAGAGAGGCCCATGGACACATGAAGAACTCTCCCAACCCTAGCTGTGAGCGTATTTTGTATCTAAGATTTGGATCAGGTGAGGAAAAGATACTGCTGCTGTTATTGTGGAATTGATCTGGCTTGATCAATTGACTCTGGCAAGGTCAGAAAGCCCACTTGGGCTGGGGGAGAGAAGGTCCCCAGCTGGCAGGAGGTGGCCCCTTCCACCTTATGCTGGCCATGGAGAACCATTGCAGCGCTGTTCTCCCTGCTTGGTGTTTGACAGCAGGGACACAGAAGCTAGAGAAGAAGCCTGGTGATGCCATGGAACAAGAGCTCCAGATCCATAGCTGAGGCCTTCCTCTGTAGCCCAACTCCTCAGCACGTGCAGAGCTCCTGCAAAAGACCTTTACCTGCTCCTGCATTTATCTCAGTCTTGGGTGCCTCTCTCAGGGTCTGCTGCCCCACGTGTGGAAGGGCTGGGAGCTGGGATGATCCAGGTACCCTGAGTGGGCTGCCACAGCCTCCTTGAGGCTGCTACTGCCTGCGGGCTGAGAAGAGGAAATCTGTGTTTCTGCCTCCTGGATGTAGCAGTGTGAGCCTTGCATGTGTGCTTGCTCAGCATGGGGATTAGGGATCATTCCTGCCTGCCCACAGAGCTTCTCCACCTCCCACAGCTCCTACTTGGAGCCCAGATTCCTCCTGCCACATGGAAATCCCCACACAGAGCGTCCTGATCGTGGCACTCGCACCACTCATCTGTTGGTCTCCTCTTGTCTCCAGGGTAGCCTTTTGCACGTGGATCATCTCCAACATCCTCCTCTCCATGCCTGTCCTGGTTTATGGAGGATACATGCTCCTGGTCACAGGGGCCTTCACCACCTT